TGGTGGTGTGAGGGGAAGTGTGTTAGGGGTGGTGGTGTGAGGGGAAGTGTGTTAGGGGTGGTGGTGTGGGGAAGTGTGTTAGGGGTGGTGGTGTGAGGGGAAGTGTGTTAGGGGTGGTGGTGTGAGGGAAAGTGTGTTAGGGGTGGTGGTGTGAGGGAAAGTGTGTTAGGGGTGGTGGTGTGAGGGGAAGTGTGTTAGGGGTGGTGGTGTGAGGGGAAGTGTGTTAGGGTGGTGGTGGAGGGAAAGTGTGTGGGGTGTGGGAAGGTGTTAGGGGTGGTGTGTGTGAGGGAAGTGTGTTAGGGGTGGTGGTTGTGAGGGAAGTGTGTTAGGGGTGGTGCTGTGGGGGAAGTGTGTTAGGGGTGGTGGTGTGAGGGGAAGTGTGTTAGGGGTGGTGGTGTGAGGGAAGTGTGTTAGGGGGGTGGTTGGGTGTTGTGAGTGTGTTAGGGTGGTGGTGTGGGGGAAGTGTGTTAGGGTGGTGGTGGTGTGAGGGGAAGTGTGTTGGGTGGTGGTGTGGGGGTGTGAGGGGAAGGTGTAGGGGTGGTGGTGTGAGGGGAAGTGTGTTAGGGGTGGTGGTGTGAGGGAAAGTGTGTTAGGGGTGGTGGTGTGAGGGAAAGTGTGTTAGGGGTGGTGGTGTGAGGGGAAGTGTGTTAGGGGTGGTGGTGTGAGGGAAAGTGAGGCTGGGACTTGCAAAAATAATCGCGGTTTAAGCCCATCGGCCACCCCGCATAATACTGAGCATATTTCAACGATACATGCTCAGTATTATGCTCAACAGTGAATGTTTACGCTGCCGTGACGTTACTCGAAAAAGAGTGTGCCATGTGTGCCGGTGTCACCATATTAAAAAACAAAATACGACTTGCAAAGTCCTAAATGAGTAAAACAAATTGGCAATATCGCCCCCTAGCGTTAAACTCGTGCAGTCTATCACCGTCTGAAACAGCGCCGTAGTTCTCAGAATGGCGCGACTATTAAACTTACTAAATTACAGTATTTTAATTGAGTAGTAGTGTTTGTGTTAGGGTAGCGTTTCGACTAGTAGTTGTTTTAAAAGTTGGGCTTGTGGTTGAACTACTGTTAGGGCTAGTGTTTGGGATATTGTTAATGCGAGTGGTTGAACGTTTGTTGACAACCAATGTTAAGACGAGTCTTAGGGCCGCAAGATTATTGGTTGGGTTAGTAGCAGCAATATACTGGTAGGAACCTCCTGGTTACACCAGCCCACAGGGAATTATTGTGTCCGTCCGTCCGTCGTGCATCCACAAATGGGAGGGGCTGGGTGGGGAGGGGCTGGGTGGAGAGGGGAGGGTGGGGAGGGGCTGGGTGGGGGAGTGGCTGGTCACCCCGTGGTGCCCTTATAAAACTCAACGTTTAACCTACTCACGCCGGCTTGTGCCCGCCCTCATAGTCGACCATATTTGCGGAATACACCACGCCGCCGTTGACCCTGCAGGCCATTGACCGAGCAACCCGACGTTCCTACCTGCTCCCTCCGCAGGAATGTGTTTGCTCAGCTCAGTGTTTGGCCTAGTGATTGAGCTATTGGTTGGGTATAGTAATAGAGACATTGGCCGGGCGAGTGTGAGGGATAGTGGCTGGGCTAGTGGTAGAGCTGCGTTGACGGTGGCGAGATGTTCACTACCTCGCCTTGTATAGAGGAGGTCGTGGGTTCGATCCCGACCCTGACACCCCTATATTTGGAGTTTGCATGTTCTCCCCAGACTTTCGGTTTATCTCCACATTTAGAATCAATATGCATTAAGAGTATCTGGCTGAATTTCGATTTAAAGATTTCGTGACTGCAGGGATTCATCTTCTTGGTTCTTTCGGTAAAGTCACTTAGAATGGAAATATTAAAATAATAAAAATAAAACATAATAAAATACAATTCTCACGACGTTTCGGCCACAACGCAAGCAGCCGTCCTCAGGTGAAGAACAGGTCTGTTGGGAAGACAGCGTCTGAATGAAACACCCCAGGCTTGGAGCGTCTATTTAAGCTGGGTTGGAGGGTGAAGAGCGCCTTGACAAAATAATTTGCATATCAAGAGGAATTTAGCATATTTATGGGAAATCCAGATATGGGATTAGTCACTACATTGTGAAATGCATAGGAGGTGGGCGGGGGCTTTCAAAGTCATATTATGCCCGTGCATTATGCAGGATTAGCAGCATCAAAGGGAGGGGATAGGGGTAACATTAATCAAGGGAAGTATCTGGCTGCTATAAATTTCCACATGATAAGCCACTTCGTTGAATTATCATTTGTGATTGCCAGCTCGCTTCTGAACAACGGAGCTTCATAGCTCAAGTGGGCGTTACCTGGTAAAATAAAACCAAATTATTTCCTTTTTAGTTCAGACTGGCGTCTCGCTGCAGGTCGTCCGTGGAACTTCAGGAGGTGACGGCGCTGAACGTTCAGGCTCTGCGCAGGCTGCACCAGTCGGTGTTCCCCGTGCCCTATGGGGAGGCGTTCTACCAGCATGCGCGCAGAGCTGGCCCACTCGCCCGTGCCGGTGCCAGCCACAACATTCACCAGCAGTTTTACACACTGACGTCACCAGCACATAGACACACTGACGTCACCAGCACATAGACACACTGACGTCACCAGCACATAGACACACTGATGTCACTAGCACATAGACACACTGACTCCATCGCCACTATTTAGCCACTCTGATTAGATCACCAGCACTTAAGACACACTGACCACTTCACCAGCACTGAGACACACTGACCACATCACCAACACTTAACAACACTGACCACATCACCAGCACTTGCCAACACTGACCACATCACCAACACTTAACAATACTGACCACATCACCAACACTTAACAATACTGACCACATCACCAACACTTAACAATACTGACCACATCACCAGCACTGAGACACACTGACCACATCACCAACACTTAACAATACTGACCACATCAGCAGCACTACAGTATTCACCAGCACTGAGACACACTGACCACATCACCAACACTTAACAACACTGACCACATCAGCAGCACTACAGTATTCACCAGCACTTAAGACACACTCACCACATCACCAGCACTGAGACACACTGACCACATCACCAGAACTTAGCAACACTGACCACACCACCAGCACATCAGCACACTGATCACATCGCTAACAGCCTCAGCACTTACCAGCACCACCTGATCAGGAGTGACCTAACTTAGGTCACAGTTGTAAACGAGGCCTATCCGGGTCTCTTGAGTTCTCACCTGGTGAAACGAAACAAACTTGAGACTTTACTTGATAGTGTTAATGGTTCTAGATTTGAAGCTTTCGTGACTGCAAGGATTCATATTCTTAGGTTTTTTCGGTAAAGTCACGTAGGTAAGATTTGATACAGCTATCGTGCTGTGACTGTTCCACCTGAAGACGGAGGCTTGTGTTGCTTCCGAAACGTCGTGATTTTTATTTTACTTTTATTAATAACAAAAAATTTACCTACGTGACTTTACCGAAAAAACCTAAGAATATGTGTTAATGGTTGTCAAGGTAATGAGGTGACGTGCAGGGTTGTGATGGTCATGGTGGTGTTGTTGATGTGTGCAGCGTATGTGCAGGGTTGTGATGGTCATGGTGGTGTTGTTGTTGATGTGTGCAGCGTACGTGCAGGGTGCGATGGTCATGGTGGTGGTGTTGTTGATGTGTGCAGCATACGTGCAGGGTTGTGATGGTCATGGTGGTGTTGTTGATGTGTGCAGCGTACGTGCAGGGTGCGATGGTGGGTTCCGTCTGCTGCCGATGGGACACGAGTGAGAATCTCCGCCGCCTGTACATCATGACGCTAGGCACGCTGCCCACCTACAGGCGTCTTGGCATTGGTACTTTACACCACGACCACTACAACTTCACTATACCCATTGTCACAACAAATCCCTTGTGCATGGCTGTGAATATCCAGTTATAAGTGTCTCTAGATATAAAGGTAAATGTACAGCCCTGCAATTGCTTGCCCACATCCCTGCTGCTGAAAGGACTTCGAATCGAGGGAGGCAGTGCACAGCTGCTGAGGTGGGATTTAAGAAAATTGCCCATTTCAACTGCCACGCAGAGAGATCAGTTAACTATTACATGACCTGATCTGTGTGCAGTGGATTGCTTCGCTACCTCCGTTGGAATTTTTAAATCCTTTATATTAAGTTCGCTCGCTTGCTTGCTTGCGCGCTTACGACCGTGCAAATCTTTCGGTCGTTTTTTTATTTAAATCCTTTATATTAAGTTCGCTTGCTTGCTTGCGCGCTTACGACCGTGCAAACCTTTCGGTCGTTTTTTTACCCACTTCCCGTGATCCAATCGAGCTGACATTTTGCACACAGACTCGTTGTGCGTGGCAATTAATTTTCGTGAAAAAAAAATTTCCTAAATTTTACACTTTTTAGGAACAAAAAATTATATGTAATTACCAATTGCTTAATGGTGCCAAGCAATAATCTGACCCATAGGTGGCAGCCATCTCAAGCCAGAGGACGAGAGGACTCTAGCCGCCACGCATATAAAGGATTTATAGTGAAAAACTTTGTTTTTACGGGTTAATTTTTTATCCAAATTCACTGTGGTCTCGGATAGAGATCCACAGAATGGCATAGAGTTCACATGGTTCATGACTGTGCGGTTGATGGTGTCTTGTCTCCCCCGTGTCCCTGTGTTTTCCACGCAGGCAGTGCCCTACTGCGCTACGTGCTGGGATTGTGCGAGGCGGAGTGTGGGGAGCGGGTGGTGAGCTCCGTCTACCTGTGAGCAACTGCATTCATACGTTTTTTCGGTAAAGTCACGTAGGTAAAAAATAAAAAAAATAAAATAAAAAAAAAGACAGAAGCTTGTGTTGCCTCCGAAACGTCGTGATTTTTATTTAAATTTTATGACTTTTTATTTTTTACCTACGTGACTTTACCGCAAAAAACCTAAGAATATGAATCCTTGCAGTCACGAAAGCTTCAAATCTAGAATGCATTCATAAGAATGATTACCCACCCTCCCCAAGTGGAAGCTTATCCCTATGACTCAGCACCTGGACTGCAAGAGGCCATTGGTCTGCGAGTAGGCGTCAATGATTACTGCTGTGTGTGTAATCCCAGTAGAGTCATTTTGGGATGTAATTTTTTCGAAGGTGGCACATTTGGACCGTGGCCTAATCGTTTCGAATGACCTCACGGGATCATGAAATGTTTCCTGGTGAAGCAGGCGACGCGTATTCTATGGTTAATACACCAGCAGTAATAACCGAGGTGGCCTGGCAGATGCGAGTCTGCTCCGTGAGACTGAGTGTGTGTTTTTGTGGAGTGGATGCACGGTGGTTAATGCATTATGCTAAGAAACCCGGGAGGGCCTGACTTCAATACCAAAGTGTGGCCAATGGTGGATAATATCTTAACTGGTTCTGGGCCTCCCCTAAGTCAACTCAGCCTAAAATGATTACCTAGTACGGTGTGTAAAATATGAGCACTAGGGAGACAACAGCCTATTGAACTTCTAGATTTGAAGCTTTCGTGACTGCAAGAATTAATACTCTTAGGTTTTTTCGGTAAAGTCACATAGGTAAAAATTTTTAAAAAAATAATAAGTGAAAATAACAAAATTAAATCACGACGTTTCGGAGGCAACACAAGTCTCCGTCTTCAGGTGGGACCGTCACAGCCAAATTGACTGTATCATTTGACACAGTCAATTTGGCTGTGATAGTCAATTTGGCTGTGACAGTCCCACCTGAAGACGGAGACTTGTGTTGCCTCCGAAACGTCGTGATTTAATTTTGTTATTTTCATTTTTTTACGTACGTGACTTTACCCGAAAAAACCCAAGAGTATGAATTCCTATTGAACATCTGTGAAAAGTTTTATTTCTCATCGGATTCCTCCAGTAGAGGGAAATATTCTGATTTTGAACGGCAGCTGGGCATGGTGTTGTCCACCACCTCGTGTACCATACCAGCCTTTATAGGTTAGACTGCTAACAGTACTTGCCCCAACAATCTGTTCAGGCTACACGGGGGGAGGTTTATATCTACGTTGTGCGCATGTGCCCTGTGCAGACACGTGCAGGTTGGAAACGAGGACGCTCTGTGCTTCTATGGCCACTTTGGGTTCCGTGTGACGGGAAAAGCTCGCGGATACTACCCTCGCCAGCAGCACACAGACGCCTGGGTGCTGGAGAGGACGTTCGCCGACTCGTGATGTAATGCTTACTCAACCACTCATCCAGTCGCTCACCCACTCACCCACTCAACCACTCATCCAGTCGCTCACCCACTCAACCACTCACCCAGTCGCTCACCCAGTCGCTCACTCACCCACTCACCCACTCACCCACTCACCCAAGCAGTTATCATTCAGACGCTGTCTTCCCGACTGACCTATTCTTCACCTGAGGAAGGCTGCTTGCGTTGTGGCCGAAACGTCGTGAGAATTATTTTATTATGTTTTGTTTTTATTATTTCCCTTCTACGTGACTTTACCGAAAGAACCAAGAAGACTTACTCAACCACTCACCCAGTCGCTCACCCACTCACCCACTCATCCAAGCAGTTATCATACAAATACCCGCTCGCCCGCAATCACTCCCCTACACTCATTCACGCACCAGCTTGATTGCTCGCCCACTCGCTTACTCGGTACATTCACCCACAGGGGCATGTGCTTCATTTTTCTTGGTTCTTTCGGTAAAGTCACGTAGAAGGGAAATAATAAACTAATAAAAATAAAACATAATAAAATTATTCTCACGACGTTTCGGCCACAACGCAAGCAGCCGTCCTCAGGTGAAGAACAGGTCTGTCGGGAAGACAGCGTCTGAATGAAACACCACACTACGTGACTTTACCGAAAGAACCAAGAAGACTTACTCAACCACTCACCCAGTCGCTCACCCACTCACCCAAGCAGTTCTCATACAAATACCCGCTCGCCCGCAATCACTCCCCTACACTCATTCACGCACAAACTTGATTGCTCGCCCACTCGCCCACTCGGTACATTCACCCACAGGGGCATGTGCTTCATTGTCAATGTTTATTCTCGAGTCGTGTATCACGTGGTGTGCGGCGGGTGCTACACACTGTGGCACGGGAGAGGCGTTTGCATACGGGGTCACACCGAGTGGCCGTCTGGACGGGGACGAGCGGTAGGGAAACCCGACGCGTGCACATGCACACATGTTCACTCGCACACATACGCACACATGTACACGCACACGCGTGTACGCAGGATAAAGTGCATTGTACCGTAGGATGCATCGCTGCCTGTCGCCATCACAGCAGCACGTCTTTTTAAATCCTTTATATTAAGTTCACTTGCTTGCTTGCTTGCGCGCTTACGACCGTGCAAATCTTTCGGTCGTTTTTTAACCCACTTCCCGTGATCCAATCGAGCTGACATTTTGCACACAGACTCGTTGTGCGTGACAATTGATTTTCGTGAAATTTTTTTTCCAAAATTTTACACTTTTTAGGAAAAAAAAATTATATGTAATTACCAATTGCTTAATGGTGGCAGGCAATCATCTGACCCATAGGTGGCAGCCATCTCAAGCCAGAGGACGAGAGGACTCTAGCCGCCACGCATATAAAGGATTTATAGTGAAAAACTTTGTTTTTACGGGTTAATTTTTCCGAACAGACCTCGATCCAAACAAACCGTGTGGGACTAAATTATGCACGTGTCCAGACTTGAACGAACGCATTATCAAGTTAATTTGGAGCTTTCGTGACTGCAGGAATTACTCTTTGGTTCTTTCGGTAAAGTCACGTCTAAAGATAAAATAATAAATTAAATACTCGCATACTACGACGTTTCGATTGCAACACAAGCAATCATCATCAGGTATAAATGAAATAGAAACACAAATCTAGTATGCTTAGAAATGTTAGGTAATACAACAGAGTCGGATAACATAGGGTGTTGACTGTTATGTTATCCGACTCTCTGTTGTATTACATTACATTTCTATGTATACTAGATTTGTGTTTCTATTTCATTTATACCTGATGATGATTGCTTGTGTTGCAATCGAAACCTCGTATGCTAGTATTTAATTTATTAATTTCTCTTTATACGTGACTTTACCGAAAGAACCAAAGAGCATTATCAAGTTATTCCAAATGTATGTATAAGCAGAGCTCTGGCCTCTATGTCTCTGCTAGGGATGTATTCCGATCTTTTACATAAATCAGATTAATCAAGACATTCACCAAAAATACAAATTTCAGACGGTCCAAAAATAGGATTAATAATTATGATAATAATCAACAAATTATTTACCCAGGAAACCTACAATGAGTCCAAAGGCCCTTTTGAAGGAGGGTCTTGCATTGGGATGTTTGGCTTACACCAATTACATTGTATGTTCTAATAGGGTTTTTCCCCTTTTTTCTGGCAACAAAACTGACTCCTTTTGCAAGGAATCACGCTTACATTAACCACAATACTTGCAGTCAAATGCAAACAAACAACAATACTCTGATAATTTATGCATTGTCTTTGAAACTGATTGGTCCACACCAGAGACAGCTTTCTTTAGAGCCTAGTCTCATACGGTGTTCGACCAGATGACGCCAAAATGCGCACAGTTCAAAGACAACGCACTACCAGAGTAATGAGAGCTCGGGGTGAGCAGCTACATCATGGGACCTCCTTTGCCAGTACCAAAATATACTAATAGGGTTTTTCCCCTTCTATCTGGCAACAACACTGACACCTTTTTACAAGGAGTCATGTTTGCATAGACCACAATACCTGCAGTATTAATGCAAACAAAAAACATAACTCTGATAATGTGCACTGTCCTTGAAGTTGATTGGTCCACACCATAGACAGCTTTCCTTAGAGCCTAGTCTCACATGGGTTGGACCAGATGACGCAAACATGACTCCTTGTAAAAAGGTGTCAGTTTTGTTGCCAGATAGAAGGGTAAATAAACAATTATCATATTTTTACTGGCAAATGAGGTTCCAATGGTGTAAATGCTTACCCCGAGCTCTCATACTCTGATGGTGCATTGTCTTTGAGTTGTGCGCCTTTTGGCGTCATCTGGTCCAACCCATGTGAGACTAGGCTCTAAGAAAAGCTGTCTCGGGTGTGGACCAATCAACTTCAAGGACAGTGCATACATTATCAGAGTTATGTTTTTTGTTTGCATTATGACTGCAGGTATTGTGGTCTATGCAAACATGACTCCTTGTAAAAAGGTGTCAATTTTGTTGCCAGATAGAAGGGCAAAAAACCAATTATCATATTTTTACTGGCAAATGAGGTTCCAATGGTGTAAATGCTTACCCCGAGATCTCATACTCTGATGGTGCATTGTCTTTGAGTTGTGCGCCTTTTGGCGTCATCTGCTCCAACCCATGTGAGACTAGGCTCTAAGGAAAGCTGTCTCGGGTGTGGACCAATCAACTTCAAGGACAGTGCATACATTATCAGAGTTATGTTTTTTGTTTGCATTATGACTGCAGGTATTGTGGTCTATGCAAACATGACTCCTTGTAAAAAGGTGTCAGTTTTGTTGCCAGATAGAAGGGTAAAAAACCAATTATCATATTTTTACTGGCAAATGAGGTTCCAATGGGATACATTGTATGTTTTTAGCTATGGGAGGAAGAAACGGAGAACTCTTGAGGAAGCCCATGCAGAACAGGAGGGGGAGCATACAAATCCCACACACACGATGCCATGAGTCAGGAATCGAACCCAGCCCCTTCTGGATGTGAGTGGCAAGTGTCTACTTTGCTACCGTGATCTGAAAACTGGAAGTGACATCACTAATATGACGTCCCTTCTAATTGTTTTTCTGCCATTAGGCTACATGCCGAGGCATCGGGCGACGTCACACGTTCGCGTGTGCACATGTTAATATATTACAATGTAAATACTCTGAAAAATATCTGAAATCATCCTTAAAAATCCAAGTTCTTTAAATCTGAAACTCATCCCTTGTCTCCACATGTAAATAAAAACATATTTTGATAATAATAATAATAGGGTTTTTCCCCTTTTTTCTGGCAAAAAACTGAAACCTTTTTACAAGGATTCATGTCTGCATTAACCACAATACTTGCAGTCAAAATGCAAACAAAAAACACTATGATAATATCTGTGGCATTGTTCTTGAAACTGATTGATCCACACCAAGGGACGGCTTTCTTTTGAGCCTCGACCCAATTTGTTGCTCGACCAGAGGACGCCAAAAGGCGTACATCGCTCAAAGACAGCGGCACTATCAAAGTAATGAGGGCTCGGGTGAGCATCTACATCATTAGACCTCCTTTGCCTGTACCAACATATAATAATAGGGTTTTTCCTCTTTTTTATGGCAACAAAACTGAATCCTTTTTACAAGGATTCATGTCTGCATTAACCACAATACTTGCAGTCAAAATGCAAACAAAAAACATTATATTTGTTTGCATTTTGACTGCAAGTATTGTGGTTAATGCAGACATGAATCCTCGTAAAAAGGTTTCAGTTTTGTTGCCAGAAAGAAGGGGAAAACCCCTTTTATTATTTTTCGATTTAAAGCTTTCGTGACTGCAGGGATTCATCTTCTTGGTTCTTTCGGTAAAGTCACGTAGAATGGAAATAATAAAAAGAAAACATAATAAAAGAATTCTCACGACGTTTCGGCCACAACGCAAGCAGCCGTCCTCAGGTAGAGAGCAGGTCTGTCGAGTAGACAGCGTCTGAATGAGACTATCTACTCGACAGACCTGCTCTCTACCTGAGGACGGCTGCTTGCGTTGTGGCCGAAACGTCGTGAGAATTATTTTATTATGTTTTATTTTATTATTTCCCTTTTATTATATTTTGGTACTGGCAAAGGAGGTCTAATGAAACATATTTTGAGTCGTATTTGCTCTCCAGACCCAACATCCAGCAGCATTTGTTTAAGCGAGAAAACTCCGGACCAGTTTGGACCTTCCAGGAGTCATCAGCAGAGTTAGACTTGTTGAAGAAATGCTGCTGGGTGTCCAGCATTGTTGGCAAGCGCTCTGCTATCTAAACGATGGGGCCCAGTTAAACACAAAAAACAATATTGCATTTCAACCCATTATACAGTGTTGTGGGGCATTGCGTAACAGCAATAGGCTGAAAAAACAAGAATAGGTTTTGCCTTTTCTAGCAATAAAACAGGTGTTGAGATGTCCAAATACAAATATAAATCTTTTGCAAGGAATCAATAGGCCGGGAGACTAAAACATGTTTTATTTTTAACCAGATGCTGCTGGGTAATATTGGTCTGGAAAGTCCATTGGCCATTGGGCCAATACATATTTATATGTGGAGATAGGTTAACAGTTTTAGTTGCTAGCTTTTACCCATAATTCTTCCTTGCAAGTGACGAGTTTATTATTCCAAACGGATTTGTTCCGAGCGACGATCAAACGGCGCGGAAACAAGTTGCGAGGTCTGTTCCGCGTAAGCCGGTCGCCGCTTTCGGTGACCAGTTTCTATCCACTGCTAGAGAATACAAATCCCTTACCTAACCGGAACAGTCCTGTGCAGCCATAGGGTCCCTCAGTCACACACTCACACTTCACACGAAACGTCGTACTCAAATTGTAAATGTTGTGGTTTCACGCTTCAACACACCGGTGGGCTAAAGCAGTGAACTTTTTGTCTTTTGTCAACGTGACACTTTTTTACTGATTGGCCGTGTCGGGTGGTGGACGGTTACGACACATTTATAAATAACGCGATCTAAACCCGGAACTGATTAAGTTGAACTGCGACATTCTATCTGATGGGCTCGAGCATCAGTGATCCATTTGCCAATACCAGTGCCTAAGTAATGAAAGTAGTGGTGTGGGGCCAGCTCCACACAATACCACACAAAGAAAATGTAGAGCCGTGTAAATGAGTGAAGCTGGGGTTTGGTGCAGAGGTCGCAACCGGGTACCCGATACCCGTACCCTACCCGATACCCGGCTACCCGTACCCGGCCGGGTACGGGTACGGGTACCCGTTGGCGAACCTGGTGCGGCCGGGTACGAGTAGACCGTGAGTCACTGGTGAGTAACTGTTTGTCACTCATTTCCCAACGTCTTGTCTCTTCTCACAATTCAAGTTCCTAGAATCAACCCACCCGCGCCTGCAACATGGCTTCATCCCAGAGGTCGCAATCGGGTACCCGATACCCGTACCCTACCCGATACCCGGCCGGGTACGGGTAGGGTACGGGTGCGGCCGGGTACGGGTACGGGTAGACCGTGAGTCACTGGTGAGTAACCGTTTGTCACTCATTTCCCAACGTCTTGTCTCTTCTCACGATTCAAGTTCCTAGAATCAACCCACCCGCGCCTGCAACATGGCTTCATCCCAGAGGTCGCAATCAGGTACCCGATACCCGTACCCTACCCTTACCCGTACGGGTAGGGTACGGGTACGGCCGGGTACGGTTATGGGTACCCGTTTGCGACCCTGGTGCGGCCGGGTAAGGGTACGGGTAGGCCGTGAGTCACTGGCGAGTAACTGTTTGTCACTCATTTCCCAACGTCTTGTCTCTTCTCACAATTCAAGTTCCTAGAATCAACCCACCCGCGCCTGCAACATGGCTTCATCCCAGAGGTCGCAATCGGGTACCCGATACCCGTACCCTACCCTTACCTGGCCGGGTACGGGTAGGGTACGGCCGGGTACGGGTACCCGTTTGCGACCCTGGTGCGGACGGGTACGGGTACGGGTAAGGAATCAAAACCCGTTTGCGACCTCTGGTTTGGTGCCATTTGTCTCATTTCCATCGGCACATCCGAGCCGTACCGGGGCCGTGCCGAGCTGATGTCTTGCATTGTCGGGAAGCACGGGTTACATTATACGAGCCGAGTCGTGCCACCGACGTGACGTCGCACACGATTCGTGACATCGATAATCGTGTCGGTAAACCGAAAGAACCAAAGAGTATGATGACACTTGCGTTTGAGCTGTGTACTGACTGCCATCACGCGTGTTGCAGACGTCATTAACCCCGCTCCCAGTCCTGCTTGGCCTCCCCGAGCCAGATTTCCGATGTCGCGAGACTGGCATGTGTGGCACGTCTCCGTTCTGGCTCGGCTTGGTAAAATGCCAGCGGAAATTTGCCCATACCATGCTGGCCTCGTGCTGGCAAGGCTTGGATGTGCAAGTGGAAACGGGGTATTAGGTGGAGGGTGGGGTCTTAAGGTGAGAATGGAAGCAGTTTTATATGAGCGTTTTTTTATATATAATATAGTCTTAAACAACGAAAATATTCTTAAAATATTCTTACATCCCCCCTCTGCCCACCCAACAACATACATAGGTACACCACATGTCGCGTGTGTAGTGGGGTAAAGTGACCAGTGTGGAAGAGTAGGCCAAATACCCTATAGAGTTTCCTCTAATGAAGACCCTTCTTGCCAACAGTCGTGGAAGCAATTAATGGACTGCAGCTTAGTCTGGATTTTATGTAGTCGTTCTCTTACCCTAGTGGATTAAGTCAGTCAAACATTTAGTCAGACACTCCTAGTTGTTAAATGTTGGTGTGAAGGGGCATGTAGTTATTCTACCCCGATGTTATTTTATAAGGTCAGCCAATCAATGGACTCTGTAAATCTTTACATATACATCCATCGCCACTCACCACTGTTAGTATTCCTCTGTGCACTGCATCCTCTTGCTAACGTTACTAAATGATCTCTCTTCTTGGTTCTTTCGGTAAAGTCACGTATTATTTCCCTTCTACGTGACTTTACCGAAAGAACCAAGAAGATGAATCCCTGCAGTCACGAAAGCTTTAAATCGAAATTTAAATGATCTCTTTAACACGTAGGTTTTCGCGACCAATATTATTCATAATCAACGTTTTTGGGTTTAGATCGCGTTATTTATAAATGTGTCGTAACCCTCCACCACCCGACACGGCCAATCAGTAAAAAAGTGTCACGTTGACAAAAGACAATTAGTTCACTGCTTTAGCCCACCGGTGTTGTTGTGGTTTCACGCTTCAACACACCGGTGGGCTAAAGCAGTGAACTATTTGTCTTTTGTCAACGTGACACTTTTTTACTGATTGGCCGTGTCGGGTGGTGGAGGGTTACGACACATTTATAAATAACGCGATCTAAACCCAAAAACGTTGATTATGAATAAATGATCTCTATCTGCCTCTGCAATTTCACTTGTTCATTTTGTCACAGTCGCACTTTGATCTTCAGTGGCTAGATGATGATGGTGGTGGTGGTGATGATGGTGATATTGGGTGGGTAGCTTTAGTCATCTTTACACTTGATTATGTTCTGCTCGCCATCGTCGACTGAAACAACAGAACTCTTCGTCGACGAATATTTTCATCACTGATTTCGTGAAGGAAAATTACACTGGCGGGAGGTGTCGTAACAGCAGCGATACCCTATCAATGGCGTGACCAAAATTACAACGTTTTGGTTCAATCATCACCTGCTGGTGTGGCAGGAGTTACGGACGGGCAGATTCATGGTGGGGGGGGGAACTAAACGGTAACATTTCACAGCAAGGTTGAACAATATTAATAATAAAGTTGTATGATAATTATAATAAGCACAAGAGCTGGTGCTCATAAGCCGGGTACAAAACTTGGTTGCATGCAACTGAATCGCTGCTATGTGGGTGTCTCTGCAACCAGTTGGGAGCAGTTGCACAACCGGTTGCTGTTCACAATTGAGGCCGACTGGATTTTCAAGCATCGATCTGCTGAGCAATTTGGAACGATGTGTTTCATCACCATGTGATACTTTAGCGAGCTATGATTGTTTGGTTTGTTATGATTCTGAATGCGCGGTCTAATTGCCTCAATGTGGACACAGCAGTTATCAAATGTGTACATGATGAGAAAAACCCATCATAAAAACAATAGTTGTGCAGCCTGGAACACCATGAGTTGCAAACCAGACACACATCTGTAAAAAGCACGCAGCCAAAGTGCATATCCAATACACCCATCAGGATTTCCTGAATAACTGTGTTGTGGTCTTCTTGCCTGAGATCACCATCAAAATATATCTGAGAAAATGTGGCCGATTTCCAGCGGCAGTGGTGATGCGGTGATGACCAGCGATTGCTCAAATGTATGTTGATGTTGACCAAAGACAAGATAACCACAGTGCACTTCTGTAGGTAATGCTGATGATGTTTTGCATACGCACAAAGGCCACGTGCTTTACACGCAATTTTGACTCTCGTTTGAGAGTCAAAATGATTTGATTAGCGCGAGAACTGTTTTGAAAGTGCAACTGATCGCTCGGTTGTTGCAGCCAGCTTTTTATCAGTACCGCAAGAATAACATCTGGAGTGCGCGCGTCACACACCCATGTCAACGTGGCTCCAACTTGTGCAAGGGGGTAGTCGCTACCGTCGCTGCACAGGAAGCCAAACCCCCTGGCCTCACAACCCAGAGCCGCACGGTTCAATGCCTGATCAGGGCTGTTTTTAAACAAACAAGAGGACCGGTTCATGCCGATTAGTTGACGTTCGCGCGGTTGTTGTGCTGGGAGTGGTGGGGTAAAGTGTGGGTATAACGTCGGCCAGGGTGCTTGGAGTCACTGCAACGTCGTGGGTTAGGGGATCCACCTGGCATGCACACAACTTACGAAGAAACACTGCAACGCAACAAAACCATAATATCCATTCATAAGTAAACAATATTAATAGTAATAATAACTTTAAAGAGACCACTGCCAGGCAATGTGTACCGGCCTACAGCTGTTATGGGTTTCTGACAGAGGTCGCAACCGGGTACCCGATACCCGTACCTTATCCGATACCCGGCTACCCGTACCCGGCCGGGTACGGGTACCCGTTTGCGACTCTGGTGCGGCCGGGTACAGGTACGGGTAGACCGTGAGTCACTGGTGAGTAACCGTTTGTCAATCATTTCCCAACGTCTTGTCTCTTCTCACAATTCAAGTTCCTAGAATCAACCCATCCGCGCCTGCAACATGGCTTCATCCCAGAGGTCGCAATCAGGTACCCGATACCCGTATCTGACCGGGTATGGGTAGGGTACGGGTACAGCCGGGTACGGGTAACCCGTTTGCGACCCTGGTGCGGCCGGGTACGGGTACGGGTAGGCCGTGAGTCACTGGTGAGTAACTGTTTGTCACTCATTTCCCAACGTCTTGTCTCTTCTCACAATTCAAGTTCCTAGAATCAACCCACCCGTGTCTGCAACATAGCTTCATCCCAGAGGTCGCAATCACATACTCGTACCCTACCCGTACCCTACCCGTACCCGGCCGGGTACGGCCGGGTACAGGTACGGGTACCCGTTTGTGACCCTGGTGCGGCCGGGTACGGGTAAGGAATCAAAACACGTTTGCGACCTCTGGTTTCTGAAAGTTCTTCAGTTTTGACCGATCATTGTCGTAGCTTACAACGGTAAAAACCGAATTAACTTCAACAGGCTCGCGTGTGGTTATATAAAGAACGCCCGGCGTGAACCAGGGTGGCTCCAATAAAACGGGGACGAATTCGCCGCAGCCTAACAGATGGATTTAACGAAACTGATCTTTCCAGTTGAGAAATCGACAGCAGCTGCAAAGAAGGAACTAATCAAATCTTGACCAGATTTTCCCACGATCAAAGTAAAGGATTTAATTCAAGCAAAAATTAATTGTAAGGGTTGAATTCGTTTTCAAGCGATTGGCCGTTATCAAAGGAATGAATTTAGTTGAAATGCATTGGGCGCAGTTAGGAATGTGTGGGGTGGGGGGGGTGGTCAATTGAGTGGAGGTAAATGGCTCTGTGAGCCAGTCGTCACTTCCTATAGACAAGAGCGCTCCACGTGGGGAAACCTGGGCGGACGGTCATCGAGCGATTTCCATGTCCCCCTGTGTGTGTCTGTCCATGTCCCGCTGTCTGCGTCTGTCCATCTCGCCCCATCTGGTCCTGTCCTGCCATCTGAGTCTGCCCGTGTCCCGTTGCCTGCCCTCGTACCCCCATTTGTCCGTGTCTCCCCGTCTGCATTTGTCCGTGTCCCCCCGTTTGCCCCTGTTCTCCCGTCTGCGTCTGTCCGTGCTGCTCACCCGTTTGTCCGTGTCCTGTCTGACCGAGGCCCCGCGTCTGTCTGTGTCCCTCTGTCAGCACTTGTCCCAGTCCCCCTGTCTGCGTGCCGGCGGACACACGTGATCTGCGCGCCGTATGTTGTGTTCCCTGTGCAACGGCCACAGCTTCTGAATGTGTGTTCTGACCCACATACTGCTGTTGCCTATGTTTCTGCTGTTGCTGCTGCTGCAGTACCTGCTGTGACTTCTGCCCATGCTGCTGCTGTTGCCCTTGTTGACGTTGCTGTTGTATCTGCTGCTGATGTTGCTGTTGCATCTGCTGCTGCCTTTGCTGCTGCTGCTGTGGCTGTTGGTCATGTTGCTGCTGCTGCTGTTGCAGCCCATGCTGCCCCTGTTGCTGTCGTTGTTGATGCTGCTGCTGCTGCTGATGCTGCTGCTGCTGATGCTGCTGCTGATGCTGCTCATACTGATTTTGCTGATGCTGCTGTTGCACTTGCTGTAACTTATGCCCCTGATGTTGCTGCTGATGTTGAAGACCGTGCTGTGAATTCTGGAAATGCTGTTGCTGATGTTGCTGTTGTTGATCTTGCTGCTGCTGCTGCTGGTGTTGTTGCTGTTGCTGCCCTTGCTGTTGTTGCTGCCCTTGCTGCTGCCCCTGCTGCTGCTGCTGGGTGTTCAGGCCAGGCGGGGTGACGGGGGCGCGCACAGTGAGGAGGCCGTCACGCGTGAGGGAGGAGGTGACGCTCTCTGGGTCGGTGCTGTCGGGGAGGCGGTAGCGTCGGTGCAGCTCCCGGGAGACCAGCGCCTGCCCGTCCTGCAAGTGCGCGGGAACGAGACGGGTCGCGCGAGGAACGCACGGAGATGTGAGGAGAGACGGGCACTTTTTAAATCCTTTATATTAAGTTCGCTTGCTTGCGCGCTTAGGACCGTGCAAATCTTTCGGTCGTTTTTTAACCCACTTCCCGTGATCCAATCGAGCTGACATTTTGCACACAGACTCGTTGTGCGTGACAATTAATGTTCGTGAAATTTTTTTCTCCAAAATTTTACACTTTTTAGGACAAAAATATTATATTTAATTACCAATTGCTTAATGGTGGCAGGCAATCATCTGACCCATAGGTGGCAGCCATCTCAAGCCAGAGGACGAGAGGACTCTAGCCGCCACGCATATAAAGGATTTATAGTGAAAAACTTTGTTTTTACGGGTTAATTTTTTTAACTTGCGAGGGAGGCATAGACGGTGTCGCCTAAGTTGAGGGACACGAGGAGAGAATGGGTGATGCTGTTTGCGAGAGATAGTGAAGATGTGAGCTGGGACCGTCAGTACTGTATTGCCAGGGTGATGCAGGCACCATCACTTGGGAGACACAGGAAGGCACAGGAAGTATTACTTTGGAGAGAGGCAATATCCATACTCTTTGGTTCTATATCAGCAGGGAGACACGGGCAGTATCAATCGAGATCAGGATGTCTGTGGAGAGGGTGTCAGTGGGTGTGCGTCGGGGTGTGACTGAATGTGTGTGCACATATGTTCATTTTTACATCACAAGGGTTTGAGCTTAGCCCATGTGATAGTTAATGATATACTTTTTTATGAAAATAAAATAATTGCCTATAAATTGACTTGAGAGTAGTTTCATATGTATATTGGGGCAGTGCCAATGTGTCCCTCTCGTGTATGTGTACGTTTCTGTGTTGTGTAACCGTGGTTTGTGGGAATGTGTGTGTGTATATATAGTGATGCGTATGTGTGTCATGTTGTGTGGATGCTGTGTAGTGGTGCATGTGATGTGTGCTCTGTGTAGTGTTGTGTGTAGTATATGTGGTAAGAGTGTTTATAGGCTGACGGTGTATGTGTGGGGAGGGTTGTGTATCTGGGGAGGGTTGTGTGTAGTTAAGAGTACAGTGATCCCTCGTTTATCGCGGTTAATGGGGACCGGAACCCATGTGTGGGTACCAGAATGTTTAAAATATGTATATTTATACTTTATATATATATATTTTACTTAAATCTATTTAATTATAAAACCTTAATATTATACATTCTCTCTCTCATACGATACGTATTATGGTGTTCTACACTCACCAATGACAGTAGTATCTTGAGACTTGACTCCAGTAATGATGACGATGACAATGACGACGATGACAGACCTGTGCAGTTCGATGAATGTGATGATGAATGATGATGATGATGGTGGTGTTACTGCACAGGTATAATGAGGCCTTTAAATCAGTTCGAAAAATCCGCGATGCACGCGAAACTTGAACCGCGAAGTGGCGAGGGATTACTATATATGGTGAAGGTGTGTGTGTGTACATGTGGTGAGGGTGGTGTGCATGGGTTGGTGGGGGGGTCACGTGTGTGTGTGTGTGTGGTGATGGTGGTGTGTACCTGCTTTTCGTCGTGTTGAGCGTGCACGTGTATGAATCCCCCCACCACTCGCACTGAGATCTCCTCTGGAGAGAAATTCTTCACGTCGAGACGCACCACAAACACACCCTCACTGCACACCACCTGCGCACACCACACACACAAACCATCACACCGTGAACATATCACTAGCACCATAAACACACCCTCACTGCACACCGTCTACACGAACCACACACACCCACCACCATCATACCATGAACATATCACTAGCACCACAAACACACCCTCACTGCACACCATCTGCGCACACCACACACACAAACCATCATCATACCATGAACATATCACTAGCACCACAAACACACGCTCACTGCACACCACCTGCACACACCACACACACAAACCATCATCATACCATGAACATATCACTAGCACCACAAATACACCCTCACTGCACACCACCTGCGCACACCACACACACAAACCATCATCATACCATGAACATATCACTAGCACCACAAACACACGCTCACTGGACACCGTCTACACGAACCACACACACCCACCATCATCACACCGTGAACATATCACAAGCACCACAAACACACCCTCACTGCACACCACCTGCACACACCACACACACAAACCATCATCATACCGTGAACATATCACCAGAACCACAAACACCCTCACTGCACACCACACACACCCACCACCATCACACCATGACCAAATTACTAGCACCACAAACACCCTCACTGCACACTGCCTGCACACACCACACACACCCACCATCATCACACTGTGAACATATCACTATCACCACAAACACGCTCACACCACACACACCCACCATCATCACACCATGAACATACCACTAGCACCACAAACACCCTCACTGCACACCACACACACCCACCATCATCACACCATGAACATATTACTAGCACCACAAACACACGCTCACTGCGCACCGCCTGCACACACCACACACACCCACCATCATCACACCGTGAACATATCACTAGCTCCACAAACACACGCTCACTGCACACCACACACACCCACCATCATCACACCGTGAACATATCACCAGCACCACAAACACGCTCACTGCACACCGCCTACATGCAACACACACACACCCCATCATCACACCGTGAACATATCACCAGCACCACAAACACGCTCACTGCACACCGCCTACATGCAACACACACACCCACCATCATCACACCGTGAACATATCACTAGCACCACAAACACGCTCACTGCACACCGCCTACATGCAACACACACACACACCATCATCACACCGTGAACATATCACCAGCACCACAAACACGCTCACTGCACACCGCCTACATGCAACACACACACCCACCATCATCACACCGTGAACATATCACTAGCACCACAAACACGCTCACTGCACACCGCCTACATGCAACACACACACACACCATCATCACACCGTGAACATATCACTAGCACCACAAACACGCTCACTGCACACCGCCTACATGCAACACACACACACACCATCATCACACCGTGAACATATCACGAGCACCACAAACACACCCTCACTACACACCACCTGCACACACCACACACACCCACCATCATCACACCATGAACATATCACTAGCACCACAAACACACCCTCACTGCACACCGCCTACACGCACCACATAAACCCACCATCATCATACCATGAACATACCACTCACCACAAACACCCTCACTGGACACTGCCTACACGAACCGCACACACCCACCATCATCACACCAGATACCACTATCACCACAAACACACCCTCACTGCACCCCGCTTGCACACACCACACACACACACACCATCATCATACCATGAACATACCACTAGCACCACAAACACACCCCCACTGCACCCCGCCTGCACACACCACACACACACACCATCATCATACCATGAACATACCACTAGCACCACAAACACACCCCCACTGCACCCCGCCTGCACACACACCTTCACCATGGCTACACCAACATAGCATCAATACACCCTCAGTGCAAACTGCCTCTGGGCAAGACCCCCATGAATGCATCCCAAACATAACAAACGATTCTATCAACCGTGAACACCATCAACAAACCACCGCTAATGCACCGTCAACACACAAGTCATTGCCTTTGACCCAATCAACCGCAATGCTTGCCAACCTCATCAGATTTTGTAAGCTAAGCAGGATTGAATCTCCACAGTGCGAACATCAGTATCTAAGCAGGTTCTGTTTCCCCCCTGAGGTCGATTTGGTCTTAAATAAGTTGCTGGTGCAGTGTGTAACATCAGCATTGTGAGGGTAAAGACGACCAGGTGTAGTTGTAGATCTTGGTAAGTGGTTACTAACAGCGCTTGCACAAAGTCTGTCGGCTATAAAGACCGTAGGGGCAAGTGTGTGTGTGTGTATATCACACCTCTGCGTGGGCTGTGTGTCTCCACCGTGGAGCTCGTCCACCAGGCTGTCCCCAGCAGAGAGCTCGCCCGGCGCCCAGCAGAGATGCGAGCCAGCGGGCCTCCTGCAGAGCGTCCCCACCGCGGAGCTCCGCGAGGAGACCGCCAGCCAAGCCCCGCGCGTCCACACTGCGCAGCTCTGCCAGGAGTCCGCCCGCGAGTCCTCGTGCGTCCCCACCGCGGAGCTCCGCCAGGAGCCCACTGCCACCGCTGCTGCTGCTGGCCGAGACCCGCACGTCCCCACCGTGCAGCTCTGCCAAGAGGCTGCCGCTGCTGGCTGAAACCCGTGCGTCCCCACCGCGGAGCTCCGCCAGGACATCGCCCGCCAGAGTGCGCGTGTCGCCACCGACGGTCAGACCCCTGGTGTCCCCAGCGTGGAGCTCCGTGAGGAGGCCAGTCGGCGCCTGCACGATGGCGTTGGATGGTTGAGGCGAACGGCGGAGCCAGCTCTGCCGTGAGGCCACGTCCATTTTATACAAACAGTGCTGAGTGTGTGAGTTTGTGTGTGTGTGTGTGCGTCTATGCTATGTGGGTATGAGTGCGTGTGTGCACAGATAATGCAGAGGAATGTTAGAGATGAGATGTTGCAGATTATATTTTCTCGCAAGAAAAAAAGAGAGATGCTTTTGAGAGATCGAACGGGAGGGATGGAGAGGCAAGGAGAGCAATTGGGGAGAGATTAGACCCGCGGAATTGGGGAATGATGAAGGGTGACGGAGATGGTGGGCAAGAGAGTTAAGGAGTAAGGATAAAATATAAGTAGATGATGATGGGATGAGAGACGGTCAGAGAGGTTGGAAATGACGAGTGATAGTTGTAGAGATGGGGGGAGATGGAGAGAGAAATAAGAGATCTGGTGAGAGAGAGAGAAATAGTTACATGATGTGTGCTGTGAATTTGGGGCAGGGGTGAGAGACGCGGTGAGTGCAAGAGATTCCGGCAGAGAGGGGGGAGAGAGAATTGGAGATTATTCCAGAGAGAGAGCGAGCGAGCGATGGAATTATAGAAACGCAGAGTCCATGTTGGGGAGAGCGGCGAGAAGCAGAGAGAGAGCCAGGCATTAGAGATGGAATATAGTCGGGGTACGTGTGGAAATGTCAATATTAGACAGAGTATTAGAGTCAATATTGGACATAGTGATGGGAGCTCTTGAGAGAACGAGCGTTGGAGATATTTAAATATAGACTTTGAGAGATAAAATAAAACACATTTTAATGGGAGAGCATTTTAACGAGTTCATAATTAATAAATTACTGTTGTAGAGATTAGAAAAATGTAACATTCAGATATTCACTGTTATGTTTGATATAAATTATTGCAAACACTCTGCATATTTAAATGCGTTATATTCTATTAGATATTTCTAGAGATCGGATGTTTTAAAAACAATACTTGTTACATCTATATTTATAGATATTCGTTAGTGATGTTGATAGGCGAGTAACAATTACATATCTACTGTTGTGTATTTATCTGTAATATTTGTGATACACGGACATAAGAAGACACATGCCCTGTTGTCGATATTTTAGTGAGACGGATATGGAGAGACATGAGTGAGATCGATGTCTGTTGATGTGTGAGATGGACGAACAGACGAGATGTTTAGAAAACATTAAATATTTACAGATCTTAGAGATATTTTAAGAGCCAGCCTTTCCCCCCACTACGCTCCTGCAAAAATTCGTACCCAACTACCCAAGACCAATATGAACCGACAGCTTGCGTTATAAACAGCAAAAAAAAAGAAATATTAGCAACAATAATTACACTTATACTGATACATAACAAATGGCAAAAATATCAATTGGCTAATTATATTAATGCTCACGCTAATTAATTGCTAATTCTTCAACACCATCAGCAGCAGCAGCGCATGCCTAGCGATGCACGCGACCCAGGGCCTGGAACAAACCATCAGATGCCTAAGCGTGGGGATGGGGGGCATGGAGATCCAGGGAGCCTGGGTCGAGACTGAACCATTCCTTACATAGGGGGGGTAACGTTGACTTGTGTAATAGTATCCAAAGAATGCCGCCCAATAATAATATTGGTCTTGAAATGTAATCGGCTGATTGTCCTGCATTCCTGGATATTTATTCTGATTTGCTCGATTTTGTGCTGATGTTTTGATGCTGTTTCCAACGAAACGCATGGCAATTGCAAGATATTTGTTGTGCGAATTGAATATCATCCTACCCGTGAGCTGAAACAATGTTTACGTGACAATTTCATTTGCTTGGCTGTGTCACGTGGTGCTGGGTCGTAACATAACATATTTGATAATTGGTTCTTTACCCTTCTATCTGGCAACAAAACTGACACCTTTTTGCAAGGAGTCATGTTTGCATAGACCGCAATACCTGCAGTCATAAATACAAACAAAAGACATAACTCTGATAATGTGCACTGTCCCTGAAGTTGATTGGTCCACACCCGAGACAGCTTTCCTTCGAGCCTAGTCTCATATGGGTTGGACCAGATGACGCCAAAAGGCGCACAACTCAAGGACAATGCACCATCAGAGTATGAGAGCTCGGGGCAAGCATCTACACTATGGGGACCTCATTTGCCAGTAAAAATATGATAATTGGTTCTTTACCCTTCTATCTGGCAACAAAACTGACACCTTTTTGCAAGGAGTCATGTTTGCATAGACCGCAATACCTGCAGTCATAAATACAAACAAAAGACATAACTCTGATAATGTGCACTGTCCCTGAAGTTGAAGGGTAAAGAACCAATTATCATATTTTTACTGGCAAATGAGGTCCCCATAGTGTAGATGCTTGCCCCGAGCTCTCATACTCTGATGGTGCATTGTCCTTGAGTTGTGCGCCTTTTGGCGTCATCTGGTCCAACCCATATGAGACTAGGCTCGAAGGAAAGCTGTCTCGGGTGTGGACCAATCAACTTCAGGGACAGTGCACATTATCAGAGTTATGTCTTTTGTTTGTATTTATGACTGCAGGTATTGCGGTCTATGCAAACATGACTCCTTGCAAAAAGGTGTCAGTTTTGTTGCCAGATAGAAGGGTAAAGAACCAATTATCATATTTTTACTGGCAAATGAGGTCCCCATAGTGTAGATAACATATTTGGTCAGATCATTGTAGCTTAATCCAACATTTAATTATTAAGCTAATGGCCTCAAACATTTTTAGCAACAAAGTTGTTCGCAATTTTCGGCACTGAGGCTGGACATTTGGGTTTTTAAGTTTAGCTATAAGGTCATACACATAATTACACACGAAGCGCTTGCCACAAATTAACTAAAATACTTTTCTGAACTCGTCAAAGAGCATAAACCATCACGCAAACTACAGTCATCCTATCGGCTTTTGGCTGGCCATCGAACAGTTACCGTATTCATCTTCTTGGTTTTTTCGGTAAAGTCACGTAGAAGGGAAATAATAAAATAATACAAAATTAACCCGTAAAAACAAAGTTTTTCACTATAAATCCTTTATATGCGTGTTCAATGGGCCACAACCCAGCCCACATTGGTCTTTGAAACGGGCGGCTAGAGTCCTCTCGTCCTCTGGCTTGAGATGGCTGCCACCTATGGGTCAGAAGATTGCCTGCCACCATTAAGCAATTGGTAATTAAATATAATTTTTTTTTACCTAAAAAGTGTAAAATTTTGGAAATTTGTTTTCACGAAAATAAATTGTCACGCACAACGAGTCTGTGTGGAATATGTCAGCTCGATTGGACCACGGGAAGTGGGTTACAAACGACCGAAAGATTTGCACGGTCGTAAGCGCGCAAGCAAGCAAGTAAGTGAACTTAATATAAAGGATTTAAAAATAAAGAACAGGTCTGTCGGAAAGACAGCGTCTGAATGAACACCACCAAGCTGTCTTTCCGACAGACCTGTTTTTCACCTGAGGACGACTGCGTGAGTAGGTTAAACGTTGAGTTTTATAAGGGCACCACGAGGTGACCAGCCCCTCCCCACCCAGCCCCACCCCTCCTACCCCCCACCCAGCCCCACCCTCCCCACCCAGCCCTTCCCCACCCTCTCCACCCAGCCTCTCCCCACCCTCCCCTCCCCACCCTCCCCACCCAGCCCACCCTCCCCACCCAGCCTCCCCACCCTCCCCACCCAGCCTCTCCCCACCCTCCCCTCCCACCCACCTCTCC